CTTTCTTCCTCTTCTCAAAGCCCCTGGGTTAGAACCTGTGCAATGTTAGATCCTGGTTTGGCTGTGATTGATAGTCGGAGGCCCTGGAGTCAGGGAGCCCAGGCGACCTCCTGCTCTGCCACTGCGGGCTGCGGGGTGTTGAGCAAGCCTCCAAATCTCTGTGGCTCGCTTCTTGATGGGTAAAATGGAAAAATGGAAGGATATACCACATGGGCTTGGAGTTAGAATTAAATAAATGTACAGACTTGAAGGACGTGGAAAAGTGGTAAGCCTTCAAGAAAATGTTAGCCATTATTTTTATTATTGTCATCATTATTTTTATTAATTATATTCCATTAATTTTAAAATGTTGAGCTGGATATTCTATGCCATTACAGATCAATTAGAATAATAAAGCATATTTTAAAAAGCCTCTTTTATGTTTGTTTGTTTTCCATATCTGCTTGGAAAAGGTCTTCCCTAAAGTAAATAATTATGTTTTGAAACACCATCTCTTGTTTGTGAACTTTTATTTTATTTTAGGTTTAGTCCCTGGAAAGTACAACTGACCTGGGAACAACATGGGTTTGAACGGTGTGTGTTCACTTATACGTGAACCTTTCATATCAGTCGGCTTCTCATCTGTGGATTCAACCAACCACAGATCAAAAAGCAGTTTTGCATTTCCAACCATGGTTTCCAACCATGAATTTGAAATACAGCTTTTGGTTCTTGGTTGGTTGAATCCAAGGTATTGAAGGGTACACTCTAGAGTCAAAAGTTATACTCAGATTTTCAGCTACTTGGGGCTGAGGGGGGGAGGTGAGGGTGGCACCCCTAACCCCAGCATTGTTTAAGGAGATTAAGAACTGTAATTGGAGATTAATAGAAGGTTGTACATTATAGTCTGAGTTGGTCTCAACCAAAGATATTGAATAAGGGTGTCCCCACCCCCATTTTGGGTTATAGAATAATTAAAACACTTTAAGGTGTGGATTAAACTATAAAGGCATATTCCTTCAGAATTATGCTAGCCCCAAGTCCAAGGTATCCTGATTTTTATAATATTTACAATGAGTACCCCCAAATTTAAGTTGTTGAGTATGCTTTTTGCTATTTTCAGTCACTAGCCAATAGAATATCATTTTAAAACTAAAATTCACTACTTAAAAATTTCTCCAAATATCATAAATCACACTTTTAAATAAGTTGCTAAGATTGTACTGCAGAATTCATGTCCCATTTAAAATGATCTGGCTTCAGGTTTGGAATATATGCTTATTACTATAATCCAATATATGCTTATTTTAAAATCTTCTGTTCCTCTGCTTTTGAAAGTACTGTAGAAATTGCCACTGACCCACACTTTCAGAGGAAAGCGAGTAACAGCCATCAGAACCCTTGCGATGGGAAAGGCACCAGGTGCGACAGATTATGTTTAGGACAAATGTGCTTCATGGACCGACAAGTGCTGTCAAGGGCAGGGGCTGGTTCTAGGCTTCCTGAGCTGAGGGAGATAAGCGCACTAAGCCCCATCTATGCACCAAAGTGGGACATAGCTACATAAACGGTGGTGATTCTCCCTGAATCTATGTGGCTACTGACAGAGATGTCCGAAGAGTGTGTATTAAGGTGGGAAATGCTCATCATATAGCAAATGAAACAAACTGCTGGTAAAACAGTACTACAATATTTTAGTTTAATAAAATACATAGTATGTGAGTTTCTCTTTAATAAGGGGTAATGCTGGAAAGCGGTGCACATGTTACCTTATAAAGCAATGATAATCTTTGAGCAACAATATTATGGGTGATTTTAATGTACAGATGCATTTTTTTTTTTTAGTTTTCAAGATTCCTAAAATGAACATGCATGTATTCCTGAATATGGCATTCGCTATATCCAGGATAAATGGTCAGAAGCAGTTCCAAGAAAAGTTGGTGACTAAAATGCCCCTGTGTTGAATTAACATAAAAATAGGACTTCATGAAGCAATGCCTCCTCCTGTGAAACAGGAAACAGAAGCCATCATTTAACGAGCACTGGATGGGAACTGGCCATCATGCAGAACACAGTGTGCACATGACTCCCTTAACTGTGTGAAGTAGAAACAATTATTATCCCCATTTTACAGACCAGGAAGCAGGTTAGAAAAGAAATGTCACTCGCCCAAGGTCATGGCTTAATTACTGTACCAGAAATATTAATTTACATACACACTTCAGACTTAACATGCATGTAGAGATCTAGGCCATTAAGTCCATTTTGATCATAGCAATACACAGACTTGCCATCCATGGCAGCGGATCCTAGGAAACCAGCCAGCGGGAGACTCTGGAACACTTTATTCTTTGGCTTTCACTTGGAAGATAGAGACTAATAATCCTCGTGCCCGAACCTACCACCCTAAAGGTTCAGAGTTTCCCACGCCAAACAGACCTGCTCTGAGAGACAAATGCTACCATGACACGGCCTAGCTTCTCTCAGAATGAGGCCAGTTGCCACCCCTCTGCCAGCAGACACAGCATCCCCCTCGGCGCCTGGCATCCAAACCCTGAAGGCAGTTACAGCTCTCGATCATTAGAGACAAAAATGAACTGAAACGAAATGGGATTTATAATTAACAGACTCAGGGCTTTCTTTGGCGAGAACAGGAGAAACCATCATGGTTTTATGTTTATTGGTTTCTAGGACCAAGAGTTTTCTCTGGTGAGAGGGTGAGGCAGCTTTTCTGGTCTAGCCGCCTGCCTTCCCCACACTGGAGGTGCCTCGTTGTGTTGACTGGGATTTAGAAATAACCACATGCAGGTTCCTCAATTGCAGCTCCACTGACATTTGGGGCTGAATGACAGTCTGTGGTGGGGGCTCTCTGCATTGTAGGATGTTTAGCAGCATCTACCCACCAAATGCCAGGAGCACCCCTTAGTTATAACAAATGTCTGGACTGAAATGTCTCCAGACATTGACAAATAAACCCCGAGGATCACCCCGATGGAGAACTCTAGTTCACGGTGTGTTTCCTCTCCTCACTTAAAAAAAAAAAAGCTTGACCTTCCCACAGAAGAGAATGGGCACCTGTGCATGCCACATAAGTTCATTAAGTTTGTTCCTTTGGCTGATTGGGCAAAGGTTGGCATGTGACCCAAGCTGGGCCAATCATATTTAGTGTTTTCAGAGAATGCATTTAAGACATAAACGGAGTCAAATATATTTGGGACATATGATGCTGAGGGAGTTCAGAGCAGGCACAATGGAAATAAAAGCCTCACGCCGTCCTTGAGTTATAGGGAGGCAAAGGTTCAAATCCTCAAAGAGGGAACCAGTCCACACAAAGGAGAATGAAGGAAACAGGTCAGAAACAAAGCAAAGCAGATGGAGAATTTTTGAATTCTCCAGGCAGCTGAGGTTTGGCTGAATTTCCTGTGACCGGCTCGCCCAGAATTTTTCTATTTTCTTAAAAAATAACTTCATCTTTACTTGGCCCAGTTTGAGAGTGTTTCTCTTACCAACTACATAGTGATTCATAATGAAAATCCGTAACAGGAGCCAATCTGGAAGGCTTTTTACCATCTATATCAGGAGGCAGAAGAATGAGCCCTGAGCCAGAAAAGTCAAGCTCCAATTCCTGCCGTGTGACCCTGAGCATGTGACTCACTTCTTTAATCCTGATTTCCTTACTGAAGAGTTTGGAGGTCAATTCATATGTAGCTCTAAAATGATAAAAGCTGAAGCTGCCAAGAGAAAGGTGTGGTCCCTTTGAACCTTCGACTCACTGTTTGATAGATCATATAAAATTGCTTTAAAGATGGTGCTCAAGACCTAGTATTACTAGGTCAGTTACTCAGGGATCAAGAGTTAGTTAAGCCCAGCCGGTGTTGCTCAGTGGTTGAGCATTGACCTATGAACCAGGTGGTCACGGTTCGATTTCCAGTCAGCACTGTGCCCAGGTTTCGGGCTCCATTCCCAGTGGGGGTTATGCAGGAGGCAGTCGATCAATGATTCTCTATCATTGTTGATATTTCTATCTATCTCCCCCTCTCCCTTCCCTTTGAAATCAATAAAAATATATTAAAAAGAAAAAGAGTTAGTTGAGCTATGACTTATCATCCATGAGACACTGAAAATTACTTAACCCTTCTAAGCCTCACTTTCTTCATGAATTAAATGCAGGGCAAGTGTACCTGTGCCAGGGGTCCCTGTCTCCTGGTCTTCAAGCCCTGGCCCATTTCCACACTGAATGCAAGGGCTGGTGTGTATAACCAATAGGTTATCATGGAAACTATGACGTGTCACTTCTGAGCTTAGATTGTCAAAAGGTCATTTTGGCTTCTGTATTGTTCTCTTGGCTCACGCACTCTGGGGGAGGCCAGATGCCATGTTGTCAGGACGCCAAGCTTCTACAGAGAGGTCCCCTGGCGAGGAGCTGGGGCCACCTGCCCACAGCCAGGTGAGAGAGCCGTGTTAGAGTCGTCTTCCAGTACCAGGCGGGCTGGGACCGCAACTCCAGGAGAAACCCTGAGCCAGAACCAGCCAGCAAAGGTGAATTCTTGACCCACAGAAACTGAGATAATGTCTGCTGTTTAAAGCTGCTAAATGTGGAGGGTAATTTGTTGCAGAGCAAATGATCTAGTGCATGAGAAGTGTTTAGGACAGTGCTTGGCACACTCCATCAAGAATGTACGTGAAGCACCGAGCATATAGTAAATGCTCATTAAATATGTGTTATATGAATGTTAAGTATTGTTTTCTTACTACCATTATCACCCACATCATTGTATGCAACCTCAATCCACAATCACTTCCCAAATGAGCTGGATTCTCACATTTCTTCTCTAAAATTGTGAAAATAGAGCTACTTAAAAATGTGATAGCCCGAGAAACAAGAATTCAAACTCTATTCTGAGGGCTGGCATTTACTCTGGATGCTCCTTATTGACTATCCTGAGCCACATTTAGGTGAAACAGAAATATATGTTGTGCCTGGTAAGCACCCGGAGAGAGAGGTAACACCAGTGACTCACCGTCCACACAGGAAGGCCGGTTCCTGGTCGTTCCGGCCACTTTCCCAGGTAGACAGGAGCACTTCACCGTCTGCGACCGCTCCTCGATGCGGTTCTTATTACAGCATCTGTGCGCGGCTATCACTTCACACGTCCCTCCTTCTGGCGAGAGAGAAAGAATAGGGCGTCTGATAAGAGGGGATTCAAACGGCCATTTATGCCTGTGGGGATCCGTGGGGAAGGCTGGGGAAATGGTGTAAGGGAGAGAAATGATAGAAACAGCCACCCTGAGATCTAATTCCTACGGGAGTCTTCCCACCCTCTCCATGTAACATGTACATATACATGTAGACACAATTACGTACAAGGTCTGTGTGATCTTGAGGAGGACAATGGCATTGCAATACACTTCAAATGCAACAAAGGCACCACGCAGAGCCCCGGGGAGGGCGACTCGGGGCTGGCGTGTTGAAAGGCCGAGCTCAGCGAGCGCCTGGGGCTGCCACAGAGAAAGGGGCGGCCTGACTTGAGTGCCTGAGACTATGGGAGCTCACTGCTGGGTTACCTTTGATTTGCGATTCTCTGCGCTCCCGTTAATGGCAAGCACCTGCTCCTCCAGCGATGCAGCGCCTGCAGAGGTGGGAGGACTGCCCAGGATTTCTCTCTCCCTCCGGCTGCCTGCCCTCTCTTAAGGGGGCGCCATAGAACATCTTACTGGGAGTCATTTCCCCAATCCAGATCCATTCCAGAAATTATAGGAATAACCGCTGGGGAAAATAGGTCTGTGCTGTAAATGGCACCTCAAACCAGAGACCGAAGCAGAAGGCTTCGCTGGTTGCTGCAGGCCAGCCATGCATTCCTCAGCGTTCCTTGGCACCTGTTCATGTCTGTCCCTCTCCTCCGGGTTCTTCCCGGGCGCACTGCCGTGACTGTGACTGTGAGGTTTGGTGAGCATTCAGGTGGGCCTGTCCTGCCTGCAGGGCATCCCGTTCCCAGGGGACATAAAAGACACTCCAGGTGACCAAGAATCAGAAATTATCTTCCCAACATCAAGCTTCGCATTTAGAAAAACTGTTTTTCTTTTGACAAGAATCAGCCATAACATTTATGATTCTTGGCATTTAGGATTCAGTTGGCAGAAATGCATCACGCATTTGCTAAGCAACCACTATATACAAGTTACTGTGTTATAAACTGTATGGGAGCACTTAAATAAGGGAAAAAAAGAAATTAAGAAAAAAGAAAGAAAAAAAATCATTGATAAAAGGTGGGGGCGGGGAGGAAGGAACGAGGACTGAAGGCAGCTCCTTCCTGTCCTAAAATGTACAGTGTAATCAGTGCTCCTCAGTGCAGGGGTGGGGGCTGAGGTGGTCTGACTATTTGTCCTACCCACTAATGATATTTGACAAAACTGGAGACATTTTTAATCATCATGACTGTGAAAGTTGGATGAAACTTTCCATCGGTTGCCTCCTGTACATTCCCCGACCAGGAATCGAACCCACAACCTGGATATGTGCCCTGACTGGAAATCGAACCGTGACCCTTCAGTGGATGCTCCAACCAACTGAGCCACACCAGCCGGGGCACATCACTGTTGCATTCAATATGTTGCTCAAAATATTCCAACTTTGGCCACTGAGCTCTTTCAGGTGATTTCTGTGTATTCCCCTTTCCCCTTTTCTTGAGCACTTCCTTACTTTCTGGTGCTACAAGACCCTCCAGATTTACCTCATTTATGTCCTATGCTGGTCCTAGAATCAGCCATTTCTCTAAGGAGACTGTCATTTAATAATATTAAATACATTATTTATATTATTAAATTATTAACTAGAGGCCCAATGCACGAAATTCATGCAAGGGGCTCTGCCCTCGCAGCCCCAGCTTCATCCAGAAGGTCATCCGGAAGGATGTCCGGAAGGTCGTTTGGCTGCCTGGTCTAATTAGCATATTATGCTTTTATTATTATATATATTAAATAATATATTATATTATTAATATATTATTAATATTAAATAACGTTATTTATTTAAAATTATTTAAATGATTTATAATTTTTCAATTAAAGTTGACATTTATTATTATACTAGAGGCCTGATGCATGAAATTTGTGCAAGGGGCTCAGCCCTCGCTGCCGCAGCAGCTGCCTCGGCCCTCCCAGCCTTGGCTTCGTCCAGAAGGTCATCTGGAAGGATGTCCGGAAGGACATCCAGAAGGTGGTTCAGCTGTCTGGTCTAATTAGCATATTACACTTTTATTATGATGATTAATTTCAGGTGTGTAGCATAGTGATTAGACATTTATATAATTTACAAGGTGACTTCCCCAATAGGTCTTGCACTCACCTGACACCATATATAGTTATTAAGATACTACTGATTATATTCCCTACACTGTAATTTACATCCCCATGACTATTCTGTAACTGCCAATTTTTACTTTTTAATCCCTTCACCTTTTTCACCCAGCTCCCCAAACCCCTTCCCATCTGGCAACCATCTGTTTATTCATTCTATCTATGCGTTTGTTTCTGTTTTGTTTGTTTATTTTGTTTTATAGATTCCACATTAAGTGAAATCATATGGTAGCTGTCTTGCTCTATCTGACTTATCTCATTTAGCACAATACCCACTAGGTCCATTTATGTTGTCACAAATAGTGAGATTTCATTCTTTTTTATTACTGAGTAAAATTCCATTGTCTATATATACTACATCTTCTTAGCCAATCCTTTTTCAATTGGGGCATTTAATCCATTTATATTTAAGGTAATATATAGTTATATAGAGATATGTGTAATCCATTTACATTTAAAGTAATATATAGGTATGTAGTTCCTGCCATTTTATTAATTGTTCTCTGTTTTTATAGTTCTTCCCCATTGCTTACTAGAGGCCTGATGCAAGAAATTTGTGCCAGAGTAGACCCAGGTGCCAGCACTGGCTTCTCTCTGGCACCTGGGACTCGGGCTTCCCTCCGGCTGCATCTGGAAGGACAGAAGGACGTCCGGAAGGACGTCTGCTCTAATTAGCATATTACGCTTTTATTGTTATAGATTCTCTGCTCTTGCATGTTGATGACTTTTTGTAGTGTTGTATTTGGATTCCTTTCTCATTGTTTCTTGAATATCTCTTATAGACTTTTGGGTTTTGGTTTCCATGTACTTCATGTATACCACGCTACATCTATAATAGTCTATTTTAATTTGATCATCACTCTAAAATTACTACCACTTTTACTCACCCCTTCTATGTTTATGTTTTGTCATTATTTTTTATTTCTCTTTTGTGTGTGTATTTGTGTGAATTCTTTAATTTACTGTTAAAATTATATGTGATCTTCTTACATTTGCTGTTTATTTTATTTATTTTTTTTAAATATATTTTATTGATTTTTTACAGAGAAGAAGGGAGAGGGATAGAGAGTTAGAAACATCGATGAGAGAGATCGATCAGCTGCCTCCTGCACGCCCCCCACTGGGGATGTGCCCGCAACCAAGGTACATGCCCCTGACCGGAATCGAACCTGGGACCCCTCAGTCCGCAGGCCGACGCTCTATCCACTGAGCCAAACCGGTTCGGCTACATTTGCTGTTTAAAAACAATATTTTTATTGATTTAAGAGAGAGAGGGAGAGGAAGGGAGGGATGGAAACATCAATGATGAGAAACATCATTGATTGGCTTCTCCTGCATACCCTTTACTGGAGATCGAGCCTATAACTCTGGCATGTGCCCTGACTGGGAATTGAACTATGATTTCCTGGTTCATGGGTTGATGCTTAACCACTGAGCAATACCAGCTGGACCCTACATTTTCCTTTTAAGCTTTATACTAGTTTTAGTGTTGGTTGATCCACTGCTTTTGTCAGTGAGAATTATTTTTTTTTTTGCGATATTTTCTCATTTATATTTTAAATTTTTTTCTCCTTAAAAATGTTCCTCTAACAATACTGGTTTGGTAGTGATGAACTCATTCAGCTTTTTCTTCTCTGGGTAGCTCTTTACATGTTCTTTGATTCTAAATGATAGTTTTGCTGGATGGAGTTATCTTGGTTGTAGGTCCTTGCTTTATATGACTGAATATTTTGTACCAATCCCTTCTGTTCTGCAAAGTTTCTGTTGAGAAATCAGGTGATAGCCTAATGGGAACTCTCTTGTAGGTCACTGCTTTTCTCTTGCTACTTTTGTACTGGGCTGAATATCTGGCACTTAGGCCAGACGGGGCACGCTGTGCTGTCTGTTCCTAAAACACATAGATAGGAAGGTACTGACATCAGGCCAGGCCTTGAGATATGGTCTCATGGCCCCTTCCCGGCACTCTGTACTCTTTGTTTCTAGAACACATAGATAGGAAGGTAGTCACTGTATGTTGCTATACTGTGTCGAGAACTAATTATGTAAACAAGGCTTTGTAACTAACTTTGTGGTTTTTGCAAATAAAAATGCTGTAACTCTTGCAGTCAGGGCTGCAGTTCAGCCTCTGCTTTGGCAGGGTGCTGTAACTGTAGTCAGCTAGCCAGCTTAATAAAGGCTCTTAAATTTAAATTCTGAGTCGGTGGTCTATCTCGCTAAGTGAACTCATAACACTTTTATAATTTTCTCTTTGTCTTTAATCCTTGGCATTTTAATTATGATTTGTCTTGGTGTGAGCCTCTCTGTGTTCATTTTGTTTGAGACTCTGTGATTTCTTGATTTGTGTGTGTATTTCCTTTACCTGGCTAGTGAAATTTTTTGTCATTATTTCTTCACATAGGTTTTCAATCCTTTCTCTCTCTCTCTCTCTCTCTCTCTCTCTCTCTCTCTCTCTCTCTCTCTTCTCCTTCTGTGATCCCTATGATATGAATGTTGTTACACTTAGAGTTGTCCCAGAAGTCTCTTAAGCTATCCTTATTTAAATGTATTTTCTGCTACCTTGTCTACCAAATTGCTGATTTGATTGTCTATTTAGTCTGATCTGCTATTGGTCCCATCTGATATATTTTTAATTTTAGTTATTGCATTCTTCATTTCTGACCAGTCCTTTTTTATGCTTTCCATCTCCCTTTTTATGCTTTCTATCTCTTTGTTGAAGTTCTCACTAAGATCACCTATCCTTCCTCTGAGTTCATGGACACTCCTTATCAGCTGTATTTTTAACTCCACCTCTGATAGATTGTATCCA